GTCGGAACCGACTCCACGGCACATAACAACAACAAGTATTTATTGCTACGAGTATGATCAGTCTTCACAAATTGTCATAATGCGTGCCCTAACTTTCCTTTGTTTGGTTTATTCATAATTACTGCTCAGTAATTGGGTTTACAAGGAGCTCTGGTAGCATAGTGGTTACAAGTTAGGCTGCTAACCTCAAGGTCAGCAGTTTGAAACTACCAGCTGAGCTGTTCCAAGGGAGAAAGATGAGGCTTTCTGCTCCCGTAAAGATTTACAGCCTCGGAAATCCTATGCAGGGTCACTATAAATCAGAACCGACTCCATGGCACACCACCACCACCACCAATTGGATTTACTATTGAAATTGTAAGGCTCTTTTACTAAAAGATGCTTCTGAAGTAAGGTTTGGACACATTGACATTTGCAAACTTCCTGTCAATAAAACTGTTATTCATTCAGTTAGTCTGTTAACGTTTAAGTGAAAGCTTTCAGATTAGTTTTTATGTTCCTGTTTGTATGATTATAAAATTGGTTTACCTTCATCTTTTGAAGAATAAAATGTTTACTTTGTGATACTGGTAAATGAGTCAATATATACTTAACAACTCCTTTCATCGTTATATATTCTAGGAAAATGATGTTTCATTGTTAAAACGAGAATTGGGTTACTCAACCAGAAGTGAACCTCTAATTGTTTCCAAATGCTTACTTTGGGGTTTGGATGCAGTTGGAAGTCTTAGCTCAGTCAGGAATTTGCTAAGCTTTTCTTTTTCTGCGTATCCTTTCATTATGGCTAGATAAAGCCATGCTACGATCTGTTTTATGATTCCCCATTAAGATAGTTAATCAGAAAAATATGACCACAAACTCCTGAGTTAAACAGAATTTTAAAAGACAAAAACTAGAGTTTTGGCAGATTTCTTTTATATTCTTTGTTGTTGTTGTTTATATTCTTAGGACCTTTAAAATTATAAAAATTGACCCTGACTAAATTGTATGTCTCCATGATAGTAGTGTAGTGGTTACAAATCGGGCTGCGAATCGCAAGGTCAGCAGTTCAAAACTGCCAGCTGCTTCTCGGGAGAAAGATGAAGCTCTCTGCTCCCGTAAAGATATACAGCCTCGGAAACCCTGTTCAGGGTCGCTATGGGTCAGAACCGACTCGACGGCACTTAACAACAACAACATAGTTTCATGGCCTAATTATCATTCCTGCTGGAATTCTTACAATTGGGCTGCTAACCTCAAGGTCAGCAGTTCAAAACTACCAGCTGTTCCTCAGGAGAAAGATGAGGCGCTCTGCTCCCGTAAAGATATACAGCCTCGGAAACCCTGTGCAGGGTCACTATGAGTCGGAACCGACTCCACAGTACTTGACAACAGCAACATAGTTTCATGGCCTAATTATCATTCCTGCTGGAATTCTTACATTGTGTTTAAATTGCTAGTGGAGAAAACTTGTCTGACACATGCATGTGCTTTAGTAAAATACTTGCTACATATGAATGTTAATGTTCTGTTAAAATGCTACCTAAGTAGGAAACAAGCAGCTCTTCCAGTTCAAGGTCTTTGGAACAAAAAAATTCACTAAACCTAAGTATTCTAAAGACTGTATATATATTTAATAGTAAATATATATCTTAAAAACAATGAAAAATCTGTTTCCATCAAGGTGATTCCAATTAAGGGAGGCCTCCTGTGTGTCAAAGTAGAATTTGTGCTCCGTAGAGTTTTCAAGGGCTGATTTTTTTAGAAGGAAATCACCAGGCCTTTCCTCTTAAAATGCCTCTGGATGGACTCAAACCATTAACCTTTCTGTACTGCCCAAGGAGCTAATGGCAGCTGTTAAATATAGTCCACGGTAATTTCATTGTCCATACTTGTTGCACCTTAGATGACCACTCATGAGATTTTAAGATCCTCATTACTCACTAAAGTAGGATGTAGAACATTGTCTTGGTATTCACTCTTTATAGATGAAAAGACTGATGTTCTAGAATGTTATGCAGTTTATCCAAAATGAGTTAATAGCACATAGAATTAGAGCCTAAGTATCATCATCCCATTAGAGTGTGTTTTCCAATATTCTGTGTGTAACATCTTTTTTTTTTTTTTTCTGACGAATGGGGTTAGGGAAAAAAAAAAAAAAAAAAACGTTGTGACAGTTGTAATTTGTTTTTAGGTGGCCCTTGGAAGCATAGTCGGTTAGAAGTCAGGCTGTTAACTGCAAGTCAGCAGTTTGAAACTAATAGTGGGAGACAGATGAGGCTTCCTGCTCCCATGATTTGCAGCCTCTGACACCCTATACAGGGTTGCTATGAATTGGAACTAACTCCACAGCACATAACCACCACCACCAGTGGTTGAGTTGTACCTTATTAGTCTACCAACATGTTGTTCTAAGTCCAGGAAGTCTTTTCTTATTTCATACCAGTATATGTGGGTAGAAGCAGACACCAGTCTTCATTTTAGATGAAGGAGTAATCAGTATTTTTTCACTGTCAGAATCTTTAACTTCATTTTCATCTGTTTTCCACCAATTTATTCCTCTTACAAAATTACACCAAACCTAGTAAATTGTTTCTATAATTTAAAAATCTTGGCATGGCATACTGAGCTCTCTGGGTCTGAATCGCTCACAAACTGACAGTGAAGGTGTTGGCCAGGGCTGTAGTCATCTTAAGGCTCATTTGGGGAAGAATCTGTTCACTTCAGTGGTTGCTGACAGTATTTAGTTCTTTTCTAACTAAGGCCCCCAGTTCCTTGACCTATGAGTCTCTACCCAGGATAGCTCACAACATGGCAGCTATGAGTGAACAAGTGAGGCAGTAAGAGAAGTGGATGAATAAGACATCTTAACTGAATCTTAGAAAGTAATACTGCTTTTACCATTCTCTTTTCAGTAATAGCAAATCACTAGGTCCAGCTCACACTGAAGAAAGGGAACTATACAAGGTCGTGAATGTCAGGGAATCAGGAATCATCGGGACCCATCTTTGGAGTTGACTAACACAGTGGACTTGAAGAAACAAAGCTAGAGGCAAAGAGACCACCTAGGCTATTCTAATATTCCAAGTAAAAGATAAGACATGTATTGTTGTTGTTGTTAAGTGCTGTCGAGTCGGTTCCGACCCATAGCGACCCTGAACAGGGTTTCCAAGACTGTAAATCTTTACAGGAGCAGAGCGCTTCATCTTTCTCCCGTGGAGCAGCTGGTAGTTTCGAACTGTTGACCTTGCAGTTCACAACCCTATGCGTAACCACTACGCTACCAGAGCTCCTTAAAGACATATATTAGGCCTTGGAAATATAATAAGGAACAAGAAAAGCATTTTCTCTGTTCCTTTGGGTCTTCTCTAGTATCTTCTCTTTGCTTTCTACATATCAGAAATACTACTTACCTTTTAAGGTACACTTCAACTTCTGTTCTTCCTGTGGGATCTTCCATGAAAATTGTATTTTCATTTTTAATCTCTTCTTTTACAGCTATAATCAAGAGAGTTTTTACTTTGGGAATTTTTTGGTATGGCGCTACAGGCTAAGCACTAGATTGTGAACCAAAAGGTTGGTGGTTCAGTGGCTCAAGCCTACCAGCTGCTCCTTGGAAACCCTATACAGGGTTACTATAAGTCAGAACCAGCTCAACAGCAGTTAACAGCAGAAACAATACGTTTAAACGAAAGCACTGGCTTTAATTTAATTGTTTTGTTGCATTTAATTGCCCAAATAGGCTGAATACTGATTAAGGACTAGCTACATCAATACATAGACTTTTGGGTCTGTAGAAATGATGTGGGGCAGTGCCTGATCTCCTCTGACTTCCTAAGGAGGAAGGAGGCGGAAACTCATCAGTCCAAGATCTATTCCTATGAGGCTAAGTTCAGACATGCTGCCACCCTCTGCCTTCCTTACCAGTTCTGATACCAGCCGTCTCTCCCACAGTACACTCCACTTCTCTGCTGGGTTTACTAATTCATTGTAGTGGCTCCACAAAACTCACAGACCATACTCATGATGATCGGGTTTATTAGGGAAGTTAACAGTGTAATTCAGGATCTGAATACAGTACACAGAGTACAGGAACAAGAAAGGCCCTCTTCTTCCCAGCTGTGCCATAGGCACACACCTCTCTCATCCATGGCTTCTCAGTCACATGGTCACTTGGCACTTGCCCTGCTCAGGCAAGTGTTGCAAAGCTTCTTTAGCACTACCAATAAATGTCCAAAGGGCACCGTGTTCTACACTGCAGCCTCCTGCTTGAAGGCACTTAGCTTTACTTGCTCTGCCGTCTGGAAAGCCTGCTGCTGTTTTGTGTTCTCAGTGTTAATGCCTCAGCTGCCACCACTGCATCTCTGGATCTTGACTCTTCTTTCCTGATGGTCCTGAGATCACCCTTTTCCTGCTTCTGAGATGGCTCATTTTATACCGAGCAGAGGGGCAAAACTGACCAATCTTCATGTTACAGTTTCATATGCCCTATTTGCATGGTTCCACCCAGTCATTAGGTGGGAGTTACAAAGACTATAGCTAGAAGAGCTATAATTCACTTTACCACAGGGCTTTGTCCCATATACTAGATCGGTGGTTCATCCAGACATTCATATTTTTAAAATAAAAACAGATGTATTACCACATTTGAAAAATACTTTATGAATGAACTATAATACTTTTTTTTTCATCTTAACAGTTCCATTCCAATAAATATTTGTAAATACTTGGTAAATATTAAGAATCAGTTGGCAGTGATAGGCATTAGAAATTACATTGGAAGCCCTTTGAGTCATATTTTAAATAACAATTGAATAACTCTGAATACTGTTTATTCTCTAGTCCTTTACTTTAGATAATGACTTACTTATCATTTAAAAAATTTGAAACAACGACTAGATTTTTTTTTTCATTGTAATAAATTTTACTGTCTTCTATTATAGAGAGTTATATTACTTTCTTTGTAGGATGAGATTGTCTGAATATTGTTTTAACCACTTTGTTTTCTTCCTTTTCTTTAGTGTCATTCCTCTTTTAAGAGAGTCTGTTGGAATATTAATGCAGAGAACTCCTCCCCTCTTGGAAAATGCCCTGCCTCAGTGTTATCAGAGGGTAAGTTTCAGAACTCCTTGGTGATTGGATTTTATGCTGTTTAAAAACTATTAAGATTTTTTAACCTTTGCAAATATGGCTACCATGTGTGTGTAATTTAGTATTTCTTCCCAGATTGAATGCTAACCATGAATGCCATTATGTAAACCCAAACAAATCTTTGGAAAATAATGAACTTTACTAAAGAAAATGTGGTGAACATTGTCCACATCTGGAAATTAAAGATTTCTTTTAAAATATGGAATATGAATAGCAAAGGAGATAAGCAGCTAGTCAACATATATATTTTTTTGAAATTCTGCTTTGTGCTAGACACAGCTGATGTACTAGTGATGTCTTGGTAAACAGGACAGACAGTCTTTCTGTTTTATCAGTGCTCATAGCCTAGTTGTTGTTGTTGTGAAGTGCCATCGAGTCGATTCCAAACCATAGCGACCCTGTATAGGGTTTCCAAGGAGCAGCTGGTGAGCTTGAACCACCGACCTTGCAGTTCAAACAACTTTGCAGTCTGACGCATTTGCCCACAGTGCCACCCCAGGACTCCTAGTGGGGAAACAATATATAGATGAGAAAATATCGAGGACAATTATTATAATTAAAATAGGGTGACCTGATAGACTTAGATGGTGGTTGCATTGGATTCTCTGAAGAAGATGTTTAAGTTGAAACCTTGATGACAAGAAGAAGCCAGCCATATGAAAATCTTGGCAAAGAAATGTTCCAGGCAAAGGAAAATGCTAATTCAAAGTTTTATGGAACTAATTTAGTGTGTTTGAGGAGCCAAAAAAAAGCCACTGTGGCTAAACCACAATGGCTAAAGGGAAGACCGGCTTATAAGATTGGAGAGAATGGCAGGGCCAGATCATATAGGGGTTTTAGTCACACAAAGAGATTCAGATTGAATTCTAATTCAGTGGGAAACATTGGAAAGCTTTTAGGCAGCGAAGTATCATAAACCAAAATTATGCCTTCAAAAGATTATTCTTCCTGTTGTGTAAAGAAAAAATTCTGGGGAGAAAGAAAGCGAAGAAAACCAGCTTTATTGTGAACATTACCCATTTCCTCAGTGTGTGCATTATTGCTTTCTTTCCTTCCTTTATCAAATAAAAGTCCTTATTTTTTTGACTTTTTCTATTCGGCCTGTATCTAGCTTCTTAGGAACCCTGGTAGTGTAAGGAATTACGAGCTGAGTTACTAACAGCAAGGTCAACAGTTTGAATCTACCAACTGCTCTAGGTGAGAAAGATAAGATTTACGTTTCAGAAACCCTATGCAGGGACCATATGAGTTGGAACTGACTCGATGGCACTTAACAATAACAACTGTTTGTGTTTACTCTTTTTTTTTTTTTTTGATTGATGCATTTGAAACTAAATTTCCCCAGGTATTGTCTCAGCTATGTCTACAAATTTTGATCTGTAGTTGTTATTAATTCTCTTATTTTTAACTGGTGAGTACACTCTGTTTACTGACATGTTGCCAGATCATTTTAGGGGGAAAGGACATTTATGCTTGATTATGATGGTGATATCTGCACTTTGTATTTTAGGTGCAGCAGTTGCAAGGTGTTTACAATTTACAAGAGCAACACTTTTGGACTTTATGTTCTGATGTTTATGTTGGGACCTTAAAAGTAGTAGTAGCTCCTGATGCTGATGCAAGGTGGATTTTAAGTCAAACACATAATATTTTTACTCAGGTATGGCTTTTAACTTCTTTTAAAGGTTTGAAATCTATTATATATGTCACTTTTAGAAATATTCAGTATTTAACATATTAAATATATGCTCTGAGGGAAGTGTGATGGCTCTATAGGGTAAGCACTACACTGTGAACCACAAAATTGGCAGTTCAAGTCCACTAGCCACTCTGTAGGAGACAGATGAGGCTTTCTGCTCCTGAAAAGATATACAGCTTCTGAAACCCTATATAAGGTTTCTGTAAGTTGGAATCGACTCAGTGGCAATGGGTTTACTATACAATAAGCTAACCATAAAACTTTAATGTTTTTCAATCATAGAGGCAATGTAGGAAATTTTTATTTTAGTTAATACTCTTAAAGGAATATAGTTCCTGTTTTACTTACGGTTGTGTTGATTTGAGGTCCTTCAAAAGGACATAAATTCCCTTTGCTGTATAGTCTTTATAAGACATTAGGTGCTGTTTGAAGCCAAGAATTCTAAAATAGGATTTGGAATAAAAATAGCAACTTTCAGTAGCTTTAGCCATGTTAACTTTTTACATGTGATAGCAAAGCTATAGTTTTCTTTTGAGTAATTTAATAGCTTAATATTTTATGGGTTTTTCTTAATTCTGTATTTGTAATCATGAATTAATCAGTGCATGCTACAACCGAATTATTTTTGTTACTGATTGTGCAATTATGAGGTGAAATAGTTCTGTGAATGTTAATCAAAGCAAGAGTGAGTATTATGGCATTATGCAAGTATTAGAAGAATAAGTAGATGGTGTTAATGATATCTAAGAACAGAGAGAAAATTTTTTTTTTTTTTGAGGGAGGGACTAGTTTGCTAGAAACATTTGATGAAAAGTCTAGCCATCTATATATACTGCTACCAGAATTATTTGATACATACATCTAATGACGGAACTGATTCCATGCCTTAAAAACTCTGTAGTTGAAAACTGACATATGCTTCCTGATATGATGCAGTGAATGCAAGGTTTACTATAAGACTATTGCCTGAATTCTTACAAAAAGCCAGTGCCAGTGGGGAATTATGCTACATTAAAGAAGACTTCAAATTAACTGAAATATGTGATCCTTTATTAGCTCTTGTTGTTAAGTGTTGTTGAATCAGTTCCAACTCATAGTGACCCTGTATAGGGTGTCCAAGGAGCAGCTGGTGAGTTTGAACTGTCTCTTTTGGTTCAAACCGAAAGTAGTCCAGTGCATTAACCCACAGTGCCATACCAGGATTCCTTAGATTGGGGGAAAATAGCTACAAAGGACTGAGTAATCACAGGAATTAGAATATGGACTGTATGTTAGTTTATATAATTGTATAAGTTAAATTTCCTTGGTTTGATAATGGTATTGTGACTATACAGAAATGTTCATATTCTTAGGAGGTACATGCTGAAACATTTAGTGGGAAAGTGGTGCTGGTGGTGGTGTGCCACCAAGTTGGTTCTGACTCATAGCAACCATCTGTAGGGTTTCCAAGGCTGTACATCTTTAGGGGAGCAGAAATCTTCGACTGGTAGATTTGAACTACTGACCTTGTGGTTAACAGCCCAACTTGTAATCCACTATGCTACTAGGGCACCTGGTTGTGGTAAAATAATCAGATGTTTAATTCATGTTTCAGCAAACCGAAAAGATTATAAATATGTATGGTGTTGTGTGCTGTCAAATTAGTTCCAAATCATAGAGACCCTATTTAGGATTTCCAACAAATGGCGGATTTGAACTGCTGACCTGGCAGTTACCAGTCCAGTGCTTATCCTACAGTGCCACACCAGAGTTCACAAATTACATATATATGTAGCTAAATAAAGCAAATGTGGCAAATTGTTAACAGTTTGTGAATCTAAGCCACAGGTATTTATTGTACTATTTTGATTATGGAGTCCTGGTGTAGCACTGTAGGATAAACACTGGACTGCTAACTACAAGGTCAGTGATTCAAACCTACCAGCTGCTGCTCAGAAACTCTATACAGTGTCACTATGAGTCAAAACTGACTTTCCAGCACTTAACAACAACAACATTTTGTTTAGAAGATTTTATAGCACAAAAAGTTGAAAAATTGAAACTAGTGGCTCCCCATTGCCACCAAGATAAAGCGCACAGTCTCTAGCATAGCGCTGTTAGCTTTTCACACCTCTCTCCTGGTAGTCATTTGCCATATATTTCATATTCCAAGCCAACTAGGCTATTAACATTCTTGTGTGGGACAAAAGTCCTGCTTTAATTTAAAGATTCAATTCAATTGGGATTTTCTTGCTGGTGCCTTATAGATCCCTTCCAGAAGGATTACTTTTTCTTATGATGTACTTAAGTTATGGTGAGGCACTTTACGAGAAGCACTGGTGTGCTAACCACAAGGTGGGCAGTTCAAACCCACCAGCCGTTCTCAGAAACCCTATATAGGGTCACTATAAGACAGAGAACTTTTGGTGTGGTGCTGTAGAATCAGCACTAGACTGCGAACCACAAGGTCAGCAGTTCAAACCCATCAACTGCTCCTTGGGAACCTATACGGGGTTACTATAAGTCAGAATCAACTCAGTGGCACTTAAACAACAAATGAGTTGGAACCAGTGCTGCAGCACATAACAACAACATGATGTACTTACTATCTTCATATTTTTCTGTTTTCCATATTCATGTTTTTCTGCACATTTCTATAAATTCTTGCAATAGTATATGTGTGGGAGATCTTTAGAAGATCTTGCTGACTATACCAGTGTTTCATAGCAGTGTAGGGAAACTCAGATCACACTCTTCTGATGTTGTACTCTAGATATCCAGTCCTACTACATATGCCATCTTGTTGTTTGGAAATTCAGCTTCCCCTCCCTGACCAATTCAGACCTCAGCTGCATTGCAGCCTTCTTTTATTTCATCCCTGGTTCTGTAGGATAGTCCTGGGACTGCAAACCACAAAGTTGGCAGTTTGAGCCCACCAATTGCTTCTGCAGAGATTTTAGAAACCCTGTACAGGGCGCTGTGAGTCGAGATTGAGCCAGCAGACCTTAACAAGAACAACTCAGGACTGGGTTAGGGGGTACTGGAGTCTACACAACTCCCTCCATATCAAACTCTCATTGACATCAAATCAATTCCAACTAAGAGTGACCCTATAGGACAGAGTAGAACTGCCCTGTATGGTTTCCCAGGCTGTGATCTTTATGAAAACTGACTATCACATCCTTTTTCTGTGGAGAGGATGCTGGTTTCAATGCACTGACCTTTTGGTTAACAACCGAGCATTTAACCACTGTGCCATAAGGTTCCTCCACTTCAGACTTTGTTGTTGTTAAGTGCTGTTGAGTCAGTTCTCTGACTCATAATGACTCTGTAAAGGGTTTCTGAGGAACAGTCGATGGGTTTGAACTGCTGATCTTGTGGTTCAAAGTCTAGTACCTATCCTACAGTACCACACCTGGAGTCCACTTCAGATAGCCAGCCTCAACTTGGGGTTTTCCTTTAACTCCTCAGGGCACTGACCACAAGCTAGGATGCCTACATGACTCCCTCCCCCTCAGACTAGCCAGCTCCCCCTGCTCTTTTGGAGTTGCTCATGGACGATTCCATTCCTGTGATAGCAAAGATGATAACAAGCAAAGCCATCTTTACATATGCTAAGTATGGAAAAATAGTGCTGGGTTCTCGTTGATCTTTTTAACCCTAGCACAGAAAAAGGTCATTCTCATATACATACATACACATGTACACAAGTTCATGGGAAATTTCCAGTATCTTTTCATTGAATTTTTTTTATGAACCTTTTGAAGTGTGTGTACGTGTCATGAGCAACAGACAATAATATACAGTTTAATTGAATTCAGAATCTTAGCGTAAATTAATGAACAGAAATGTATTATAATTCCTTGGGGAACAACTTAATGAAATATTAGGAGACAGCGAGATTTTAGTTCACTTTGAAACAATATGCAGGTGCCACCTACTTAATCCAGAATTTTAATGATGAGGTCTCTTCCTTAACAGATACTATAGTAAGTCTGTATCTTCATGATGAAGTATACCAGACTTCACAATAGATCTGAATCAGTATTTCAGGAACAAAGGGAGGGTAAGGCCAGTAGAAACTTCGTCTTTTCATTGCCCTTTCCAGATGATCATTTTGTCTTAGTTATACCATTTTCTCCCACCCTTTTTGTTTTGTTTTTATTTTTTTTGTTGTAAATTAGGTGAAGGTTTAATCCTCCCACCCTCTTGGGTGGTGGTGGTGTACCTTCAAGTAGGTTCTAACTCATAGCAACCTTGTATTGAGTTCCTGAGGAGCAGCTGGTGGGTTTGAACTGCCAATCTGGTAATTCAAACCAACCTTATGGTCGAGCACTTATCTTACAGTGCCAAACCAGGACTTCCCCTCCCTTGTAGTGTGTGAGCTTTTGTTGACCTCTAGGAGTCCAGGGTGGTGCTGTAGGATAAGCACTTGACTTCTAACTGTGCAAGGTCAGTAATTCATACCCACCTGCTCCTTGGAAACTCTATACAGGGTCTCTATGAGTTGAAACCAACTCAGTGGTACTTAATAACAGCAGTTCTCACCAGGAGTCCTAGTATAGCGCTGTAGGATAAGCACTGGGCTACTAACAGCAAAGTTGATGGTTCAAACCCAGGAGCTGCTTCTCGGAAACCCTATACCGGATTACTATGAGTTGAACCTACTCAATAGCAGTTAGTAACAACACCAAGGACACGCCATCCTCCTAAAACTTGGGCACTTAGTCACAATATCCCTCTGAAAAGGAATGCAGTTTCTAAGTCTAGAAACAGGTAAGCAGCTGTCAGTGCCTAGGAAATACTGAAGTTGTAAAGTTGACATCAGTGGTGGGAGGTTCTTCTGGTAATCTTAGGCATCCTGGCTTTTTAAATGCTGAAGTGGAATGTTTGTTTAGTTGTTTCTTTGGTTTTGAAACAATATTTGGACTTTGAAAAGCTCAGAACTTCTCAAGCCTTTTTATCAGCTAAGGTCAAGCTAA